GCAGCCATGGAGGGCTCTGCTGTACACCAGGTACCAAAGGAGGTGGTGGAAAGCAAACCCTTGCTCCAAAGCAGTGCCAGCCTGGCCAGAGCCGAGCTGGGGACACGCTGGCCTGTGTCCCACGATGCTGGCTGCACCCCAGCAGGCTGAAAAGATCTTTGCAAAGGAATAAAACTTTGTCTGGCTTTCTCAGGAATGCACCCCCAGCAATGGATTTGTGAGCTGCAGTGTGGCCATCCAGGCCCAAATAACCCAAGCTCTGACCTTGCAGGGACACTTGTGTCATTACCCCCATGCTCCTGGACTCAGCTTGGCCCTTGTGGTAGAGAAAGCCTCACCCTGAACTCTCCACCTAGGAGAAAAGGAAAAAAAAAAAAAAGAAAGGATACTTTTCACTTGATATTTCTTGAGTCAGGAATTTTGAATTGTGCAAAAAGAGGTTTTATTGTATTCCTACAGCCCTGATAATTTTTTTTTTGTACTCCTTTTAGACTATGTTGGCATTTCAGTTAGGGCAAATTATCAGCAGAGGTGAGCCCATTTCCCACAGGTGAAGGCCTCCCCCAGCCCTAGCTCAGGAAGATGGAGGTACCCCAGACCAGACACAGGTTACCCCCAGCAGCCCCTCTCAGCAGATGCTGCTCCCCGTGCTGGCAGCTCCTTGGCAGATGTCTGCCAGGCCCTCATGGAGAGTAAGGCTTGCCGAGGTCACTGACCCAAGTTTTTTTGTTCCTTTCATTATTACAACACACAAAAAAAGAGAGAAAAGGGGACATTATGCACCTCTGAAAAAGAAATTAACTCCACTTGGAGTTGTAAAACAAGAGGAAAGAAGACCCAAGAAAGAAATCCTCCAACTCTAAGTGAGGCTGTGCCGTTGCTGCTCCTTGATGGGTCTCGGTCCCCTTACGGCTGAGAAACCATGTAGTCATCTCCTGCCCCAGGGCTGTTTGCATCACAGTAAATGGACTTGTTCAGTTTAATTGGAAGACGAGTAGTGATTGTATTTTTGTAACCCATTAGCCTGCACTGCCTCTTGGTCTAGGATTGCACTCAAAATTACAGTCTGGAGTATGAGTGAGGGCCTCATTTCTGCTCCCCCTTCGTCTTGATTAAATAATGATTTGAAACAAAAAAAAAAAATCCAATAAATATATATCTTGGGTTCCCTTGAGGGCAGCAGTAGGTCCCCTGCTGAAAGCTGGAGAAAGCAAAGTTCACTGAGATTATTTAATTACTTATTAGAGAGGGGAAAAAAATCCAAGTGTTCGCATAGAGAAAATTAGATTTGTGAAAGAACAGACTCTTTTTTAAGACACCCTAGAAAAACAAAAAGCCATTACAATTCAATAGAGCTCTGCACAGCGTTTTCAGATGTGGCGCTCAGTTTCTATCTCGTGTGGCTGATGTGCCTTTCAGAAGCACTAAAATGAGACCAGAAGCAAAGCTAAGGTTGGTGGATGAGGAATATGTCTCCAAGCAGATGGGTGAGTCGAGCATCTTGAGACTTGTCCTGGATCTTGCCATAGGACAGAAATCTCCCTTGGGGCCTGCAGGAAGCTACTGGCTACAGCCTGGTGCCTTGAGGTGGTGGGGCTGGGAAGCTGCTGTCCCTCCCCTTGCCACCTGCCTTGCCCAGGCTAGACCCTCCAGCCCTCACAAGGGCTGTGGGCTCCATATTTCTCTGATGTCTTCTTGTTGCCTCTTCCCAGAGTCCTGCCTACCGCAGGTGTTCAGCTACAGAGGAGAATGTTGATCCCCCAGTCACTTGACAGATTTTGTGATGTGCTGACAACAGTTGCTACTTTGAAGACAGGCTTCAGTGAAGGCAAAGCAAGAGCATACATCCCAGGTCCCACCAGCAGTCTTAAAAGCTGTTTTAGAAATGCCAAGAAACAGCTGTATTTCTTGGCGAAAATAAAGGTTTTATGGTTTAGACTGGGAGGGAACAGAAGTGAGGTGTTTGTATGGGTGATGCTGGGGTCAGTGTCCCTCAGAGAACCCCTCTGCCCACTCCAGGCCCTTCCTACCTCTGTAGCCAGGCTGTACCTCACGTGGTGTTTTCATGCCTATAAATGAACGGTGGTAAAAAGCTGGTTGTCTCTTGGTTTGGGTTCTGATCTACTGCAAACCATAACCCATCTTTAAAAAAAAATAATAATCTGGTGCCACATTTGAAAGCGCAATTCTGTGTCCTCTGGGATGTGGTTGGGGAGAGGGCAGTGGTTTGTAGCAAGGAGGCCAGTTCTCTCAGGGGTCTGAATGTGGCATAGGGGTTTTAAGTTGATGAAAAACATAGGAGAGATCTGGTTCTTTTATGCTCCTTTGACATTCCAATTTTCTCAGGGGTCTGAATGTGGCATAGGGGTTTTGAGTTGATGAAAAACATAGGAGAGATTGATACCTGGCTCTTTTATGCTCCTTTGACATTCCAATTTCTATGGGAGTACACAAGGACTGTTAGAGAAGTGCTAGAGCTGAGAAGGAGCAAGACCAGATGCCGAAATGGGGACTTGCAACGTGTGTCTCCACTCATTGCTAGTTGGGAACATGTGGGAGATGTTTCTGCTCTGTCCAGGGCTTCTGCATTGAAGGTACAAGTTGGCTAGTGAAAAAAGATCACTTCATTTCCACTGCTGGGGTTTTGGTGCCTCTGAGCTAGGATTAAGCATGGCTTAGAAGTTAGTGTGGGGTGGGAATGGGGAGTCCACAGCTCTAGTCTGGATTTGCTGGGATGAACTAATTCTTGCCCCTTTGTCCCTTATCCCAGAAACAGTACTGCCTCTCTCTCTGGCAACACTAGGAAGTACTTGGAGATCCTCCAACTCCAGGTTTTTTCAGAGCGTGAGGATGTTGTGGGCAGTCGTCACTCTGCCAAATGTGTTCTGAGAGCTGCTGTCTGTGTTGGTAGCTCTGCTCTGGTTTCAGCCAGGAACACAGACCAGATAACACTGGCAGGAGGGTAGACATGAAGGCACCATCTGATGGCATGAAGATGCACCATGTAAAAAGTAACACAGGCCAGGTCTGTAGCCCCAGATACAGATGAGGAGTCCCATCCTCATGCCAGCCAGTCCAGTTCTCCAAAGGGACTGGCCCTGTCCCCGCTGTATGACAACTGATCCAGGTTTCCTCTGCTCCCTGAGATATCACCAGCATTGCAATGTGGTTTTCTTAGCTCCGAATGCCCCAGATTTGTGAGGGCATGGCCCAGGTCCCCAGTGTGGAGAGTGTGATGTAGAGGGAGGGCATTGCATGCCCCAGAATGGGGTGTGAGGACATATGCAGGTGTTTGAGGGAGCACAGCTTGCTGGGATTGTGTTGGAGGACTATGTTGGGGGGGGGGGAACCAAAAGTGTGTGTCCACACTCTAAGGACCCTGGATCAAAGCTTACGAGTGGGAATGAGGGAAACAGAGCAGCTGAGTGAAAGAGGAGGCCACACGAATGTGCAGATCTGCTGGGTCCATGATTGACCCTAATTTTCACCCCGTTGTAAGGGCAGATGTTAGCACTAATGTAGCCTCACTCCTGGAGCCGGTGCGTTCCGGGACTGGCTCAGGCAAATGCCAGCGGAGTTAAAACTGAACTGTAAAATACCCAAATGATGTAAATCCCTTTGTTGGTGCTCAGGGCCCCAGACAACAGCCCTGCCCGGGGCAGCCAATGTGGGCTTGGAGTCCTTGAACCCACCAAAGACCCACGCAGAGGGTGGAAGGAGCAGGGCTACCATCCCCTTCCCTATAGGTCTCCAACACAGAACAAGGGGGGGGAAATTTTTCCTCCTCTACTTTATTTTTTTAATACTTCTTCTGTCACTTGAGTCCCTTTGTTGCTTCCATGAAACCCAAAGGGATTCAGTACAAGCTGCGACTTTTCAGCACGAGCCCTCAGCCTCCAGGAAAGGGCTGGGCGGCCTAATTTAAAGCAGAAGGAAACAAAAATGAGTAATAAGTGAGACAAGCAAGCAGACAAAAAGCAGTCGTGACATTTGCATAGAGGAGGCGAGCGAACAGTTGGCAGAGTGGATTGAAGAGAGGGTTTATGTTTTTTTCATGTAATGTGAGACTCTAATGATGGACTTATGTTGCCCGCTCTTCCTTTTTTCTTACACCTTACCTACTAAAGGAGGAGTTCTTGATGGGTAAGTGGATGCTATCCGCAAGACACCAGGGAATTTATTAGAGGTCACTTGAGCGCATTAGCTATATCTTCTTCAGGGGGAAAAAAAGCACACAAAAAAGTATCTGTATACCTTTTATTTCCAGAGGGATTTTTCTTTTTTCCCCTTCCCCTCCTTTTTTCTGTTTTTTTTTTTTTTTAATTTATTTTTTTAATATATTTGTTTCAAAATTATAAGCTTGTTTATTTGCCAGTTTTTACTTTGTACAGAAGCCCTTAATTTGATTTGATTTGATTTTTCTTTGCTTGTTTCAGTGACAGCCATTCAACCTCTTTATTAAGGAAGCTAAACAAATTCCCTCATTTAAGATTTTTTTCGTTTTTGTTTTCTTTCCAAGGATTATGTAGGATTTTTATATGTATATTCCCATTTCTTTTTTTTTTTTTTTCTCCCTCTCTTTAAGGTTAAATAAGGGCTTTGTCCTCTGTTATACCTTTTTTATTTAGTTAGTTATTTTGATTCTTTGGTTGCCCGTTTACGTTGTTGAACTCTTTTGTTTTACATGAATCGCATGCTGATACTCTTTGCATGATCTCTAAATCTTCCCGTTATCATAGCAGGGGGAAAAGAAGTTTCTTCTTACTGTGGATTTCTTTCAGGGATATGTGCTTTTGTTTTCTTCTTCTCTTTCTTCTTTTTCTTTTTCTTTCTTTCTTACTTTGTTTCTTTTCTTTCCTTTCCTTTCCTTTTGTTTCAGTGCATCATGATGGTAAAATTTCTGGGTTTATTTAAAAAAAAAAAAAAGCAAAGTAAAACCAAAAACAACACTCCCCCCTAAAAAACGTTCAAACAATGCCAAATGGCTTTTTTGCTTTCAGATCTCTCAGTCAGGGTCTTCTGCTGACCTCTTTACCAAAACAGACAGCCCGCCTGGCAACCTTGCCAGCCAGAACGGAGAGTATCATGAATATGACTCAGGAAACGATACTTCCTCCCCTCCCTCCACTCAAACGAGCTCATCCAGGTCAAAGGACAGCCAGGAGAAAAGAAGTCTAGTCCATGATGGCTTTGGCCATGCCTTCTCGTCCGGGAAGCCCAAACTGGCCAACAGCGATAACAGCTCTGATTCAGGAAATTCCTTCACCAGTTGCTTTTCCCAGACCAAGGGAACAGCTTTGGAAAATCTGTCTCCAGATGCCCAGGGACAAGACCGAAGGTCAGTGATTACCAGTAGCTGCTGCTGGCAGCCAAATACCTGGTACGTTGTTGCTCTGTATCTCCTGCCCACTCGCCAGTTGCAGTGGTGAGCTGGCAGGGAGGTTTTTGTGGTCTGGAGGCAGTTAGATATAAATCAGACCCGCGGTCTTGCCAGTCTGGAGTCCACAACCCAGCAATGACCAATACTGTAGCCTGAGGAGGAGGATGCAAACCCAGCCATCACGCCCCTGCGCGTTGCCTGTGCCAGCTCTTCTGGCATTAACGTGGCTAATGCAGGGTTTGGCCCTGGGTCGAGCCGTGTCCTGAAACAACCCTGCTCAGCCAGACGTGACCGTGTCAAAGGAGAGAGCTGATGGCCCTTCTGGGCAAAGTCTGGAAAGGTACCTCGGGGGCTGGCTGTGCTAATTCTCCCCCTCCACTTACTATGGGGAAGGGGAGCAGGGTTTGTTTTTGCTAAAACCAATACTTCTGTTCTTTCACCCGTCCAAGGAGCCAAATCCAGCCTGCCCCTTCCCAGCTCTTCCAGGACTGGTCCTGGGTGACAAGGTTGCATCTCCTGTAGGTGGGGAGCACAGGGAGGGGCAGGTGCCTTGCTGGTTGTGGGATAACACAGCAGCAGCTCTGTGCGTTGCAGCCACAGGGCATAAGGGCTGGGGACAGGAGTCAAATCACCATCCAGTGCCACAGGTCACCATCAGGAGAGGGGAGTAGACAGCAGCCTCCATCACCACCTCCCACCCCTGGGGGTTTGCCAGGTGATGTTGGGGATGAAAGGCACTGAAGCGCGGTGGCTGTGCCCAAGGTTTTGCTCAGGCAGTGGTGTTAGGGACCTCTTCCAGCTCAGGCCCTCGGGTCTAAAATGCTGAAAGTTGGAGCCAGGATGCGGTCTGGGGGTGGGAGCACTGAAGGAGAGAGGAGCGGGAGCCAGGGGAATTGGTGTTAGGAAGAACAAGCCCTCGATTTTCAGCCAGAGGGTAAAATTTCATGGCTGTATATACTTTTCAAGTTGTGAGTCCAGTGGGATAACTCTGCCTTCACATGGGTGGAGCTGGGATTGCAGCTGGCCCTGGCTGTTGGGAGGCTGCCTTGCTGCTGGGCTCTAACCCCAGTCCATGCCCAGGGCACTTCTGGAAGCAGAAGAATTCATGCAGCTCTGTACAAAGGTGAGGGAATGTGCCCACTCGTGCTGCTCCACAGCCAGGCTGGAGCACAAGCCCTTGCCCTACCATGCTCTGGCTTTCCCTTGCTCCATCACTTCTCACCTCACTCCCTCTCCAGCACCTGCACCACTCGCTGGCCTGACCCAGGCTCTGCCAACTGGACACCTCTGGTGTGTTGGACACAGGGCAGAAGAGCTGTTTCTCAGGCCACCTGAGAACTCTTCCACTGCCCTTCCCTGGCACAGCCCGGAGGGTGAGCTCTTGGGCTCTGACCCACAAGTGCAGGGTCTCCTGCAACTGAAGCTGGGGAGCCAGGAGGTCTTCTTTATCCACAGTTGGGGAATGGGGAGGATGAGAATACTTGTTGGCTGGAGTGTGCTGCTCCCCTCAGCCAGTCCCAGTTCAGCCACAGCTTCAATGACTGTCCAAATATATGTTCACAGAGGCTGCCTGTCCTTGTGTCTCAACTGTTCAGAGGAGAAGAAGCAAACCTTCCTCCTGTCCCCAACCCACAGCTTGCCGCTAAGGCCGTGCTCCCGCAGCGAGTCCTACACCAGCACCGGCAGATCCTCCCGTGGCTCCAGCCGCTCCAGCCGCTCCCGTTCCTCACACCACAAGGCCTCTCCCAGGTACTCCCGAAGCAGGTCCTGCTCTTCGGGAAAGAGGTAAGGCCAGCTAAAGCGTCTGTCTCTGTGACCCTGGGCAATGTCTAACTCTTGCAGGCTGGGAGGCTCCTTGCAGGAGGAGGTGTAAGAGTTTGAGGGGTGCCTAGGGATCCACATGGCTCGTGGTGAACTGGCCACACAGAGCTGAGCCAAGACCATGAAATACGGGGCATCTCTTCCCCCCATGTGCCCAGATTTGGAGGAGTCTGGTACAGCCTCACCCTACAGCATCTTTAACTCTTTTATGGTTCTTGCCTATCCCCAGGTCTTCGTCACGTTCCCCCAGCTATTCCTCCAAATCCTGCAAAAAAAGTCCTGGGAGCAGGAGTTCAAGGACTCGTCGGAGCCCCAGTTACTCCCGCTACAGCCCTAGCAGGTACAGCTGTCTCCTCATGTGATATCTGCTGCCTCACACTTACCCACTGCCTCCATTATTTGTTTGGGCTCCATCATGACTGCTGGCTCCTTCTGCCAGCCCCAAACTGCTCCTTCAGCTTCCTCACTGGGAGCTTTAATCGTCAGCTCTGGGGTGAGGAGGACTAAGGGGACAGGGAGTAAGGCCTATGGCAATATTTTATGTTGGTCCCCAGTCCACTGGAAATTTCTCACCGTTTATTGTCTCAGAGCTGGTGCTGGTTGCAGAGGGAAGAGCCCAGAGATAAGCCTTTCACTTTCTGTGGGAAAAGTCCTATAGCCAAGGAACGCCCTGCGTTGATTCAGGGGAATTTCACACAAAGCACTTTTGGGGCAAGGTTGCTGGGAGAGAGACCTGGTTTATCCCTGGCTTGGAAGCATCATGGTATCTCACACTCAGAGCGTGTGGCATGTGAAGTGGCTCTTGCTCCGCTCTGAGCCCTCGTGGAGGACACGCTATGCAGCCAAGAGTGCACAGATGGCTGCTTGGTGGTGTTTGCCAGGGCTCATGCCAGTGGAAGATGCCTCATAGCAAAATTCGGGGAGTGCCCCTCTCTATCCTGACGGTGTAAACGATGGGCAGAGCATTGGGTTCTTCCAGCTGGGTCTGCCCACAGCTTCCATCACCCAAGGAGCCCACGCCAGCCAGCAGCCCCTGCAGCAGGGCTCCGGCCCTTCTCAGAGAGGGATCTTACTGCAGTAAGGAAAGACACTCTGCTTTTCAGAGTCATGGCTCTGCCAAAAGAGGTGTCAGGCCCCGGGAAGTGGCCCTGCTGCGTGGGCAGATGCCAGGTACCCTCATACTGGCACTCACACAGCGTTGCAGGGGGAAACACAGTCCAGGTGACTATTCCCTCCACACCCCATAGAAAACACGCATCTCCTAGCTCAGCCCTAGATGCCTCTGGGCAGTTTTTTTTCTGGTAACATCGCTACTGAGCACGCTGTGAACATTTTGCACCCTTAAAATGTCACATTCCCAGGGTTTGATTCTTGCAGGCTGTGACAATCCCTGCACTGGTGTAGGAGAATATTTCCTGCGTGCAAGGATCAGGCCCTTGACCTGTAATGTCGCTTTGCAGTTGGCACTGAGCAGGGTGTATGAAGTCAGCTACACTCCAGAGAAGGGCCTGTGCTGACGTGTATGGCAATTTAACAAAAGAGAAAACCATAGCAACACCGGCACTCCTTCTGGCGAGCCGTGCAGAGCTGCGCAGCCCTGCAGGGATACCAGGGGCCCTCTGCTCGCGTGGGGCCTGCTGGCAGGGTTGTTCTCTCCTGCTTCTGCAGCACGGCCAGCAAGAACAATTTTAGTAGAGCCTAAATACAGAGCGCATCCATAGACACAGGTACGTGGACGCCCTCTTAGCTCAGCAGTGCAGGGCCACCAGGAGACACTGCTGAAACCCCCAGACACAATTTGTCCAGCCAGACGAGTGTCTCTTTGTCCAGCTAAGTCAGTGAGTGCAGGGCTGGTGCCACCAGAGCGCTTTGCTTAGAGTGCTCCCTTTGGGAGCTGAGTGTCCTCTGCTCGTCTGTGCCTTTGGGCCATTGCCTCCACATCCAAAACCCATCCCACAACGACCCAGCAGTGAGAGTTTTCCAACCTGTGCCTTCCCCAGAGACCGCGAGCGAGAGCACAAGTATGGCTCCAGTGAGAAGGAGTCGCACAGGGAACGTGACCGGCGACGGCGGCAGCGGTCCTATTCACCCCTGAGGAAACGCAGGAGAGACTCTCCCAGCCACCTGGAAGCTCGGCGCATCACAAGGTAAGGGGACATTGTCCCATCGTTTGGGGACAGGCTCGGTTGGTGCTCCCTGGGGAGAAGGTGGGCTGTCCTTGGGTCCCAGCCCTTCCCAGCGGAGGTTGCTCCAGGAGGAGACCGGTTCCTCTGAGCCTGATCAGCAGGCCCTTCCACACCTCCTAGAGCTTCTGGGTTTCCAGAGGGGGGGGTGTCTCATTTACAACAAAGAAAACAGGCAGATGAAGTCAGAGCAAGGACTTACTCAGCAGGTGCCAGGAGCATCCCCCCAAAGGCTTTTTGTTTCACCTTCTCTTGTGGTAGATGGCCCACATTTGACTGTAGAGACAGTCAAATATTGACTCTAACCTTCATGCTGAGGGCTCTTTGGGACAGCATCAGACAGAGCCCAGCCTAAGACTTGGTGTGGGAAGCATTCCCCAGGGCCCTGGAGGCGGGTGGTTTGAATCCCAAGGCCTGACAACTACCTGATCTCTTCCTTTTTTTTTCTTTTAAAGAAACACAGTCACATTTTGGGGGCAGGTTGTGCAAAGTAAACAGTGCTTTTTGGAGATTTTAGCAGTAAATCCATCCTTGTATTGCTGGTAACCCACATCTCTCTGTCCCTGCAGTGCCCGCAAACGCCCCATCCCCTACTACCGTCCCAGTCCCTCCTCCTCCAGCAGCGCCAGCAGCTATTCCTCCTGGTACAGCAGCTTTAGCCGCTCCCCGAGCAGGAGCCGGAGCTACTCCAGCTACCGGACAAGCCGGAGCCGAAGCTGGAGCAGCAGCAGCAACGCCGAGGGCAGGAGCCGCAGCCGGAGTTCTGGCCCCAGGAGCAGCCGCAGCTGGAGTTCGGGCCCCAGGAGCAGCCGGAGCAGGAGCAGGAGCTATGACTCAGGAGGCAGCTCTGACAGCCTACGTCGCTAGGGAGTGCCGCCGATGGCTCGCGTGCCGGCGTCACTTCCAAATTCCTGGCATTCTCCGCTTCCTTCCCACCTACCTGGCCATCGATAGCAATCATCCCCGATACTGATGTGGTGGCAGCGCTGGGTCCCCCATCCCCGGTGTCCGGAGTAAGAGCCCCCGTGCGCCCAGCACAGCCCCTTCGCTGCCTCGTGGACAAGGTGGATCCATCCCAGCTCCCCGGGCCAGGACTGGAAGAAGGGTCGGTGCTTTACAGAGGATCTGTCACAACAGACCTGCTTCATCCTCCCCGACATCCCCGGCTCCCCATCGCTGCCGCTTTCCAAAGCACTACCGGCTGCTCCGAAGGAGAGAATTCAGCTCCTTGCTCTTCTGCCAAACCAGGAGCCAGCAAATTAATTCCTGTTGGAGGGAGAGACCCAGTTAGGGAGGAATTTGCTGGGAAGCTTTGGCGATGCGTGGAGGTGACCTGCCCTGACCAAGGCAAATATCATGTCTCTTGGGTTTCTACTCCAGAGCTTCTGGCCACTCTGCAGCAGGCCTCTTCCGTGAGAGAATATTTATTTGTTGCCGGTCAGCCAGTCCCTGCTATAAATAGAAGGCTAGAAATCCCCCCTGATGTAATTCCTGGGGAAAAAACAAAAGGCCATTTCTTCTCTTTCTCTCACCCTTTCCTACCAGGTATTCATCAGCTTTTGCAGGGTTGTTTTCCCCCAGCACCATAACTTGCTTTAGGATGAGCAAGTTGGGGTCTGCAGCAGAGGTGGAGCCTGTGGGGTACGAGGGAGAGGGGAGCTGGTGCCACGCTGCGCTCCGAGGGCCAGGCCATGGGTGGGAGGTGGGGACCGTGGGCTTCCCTTCTCAGAGGAACCCTCTTGCAGTTTGGGATTAGGTTTTTCCAAAGGGAGCCTTGCCCTTGGAGCACAGCACTGGTGGGACTGGAAGGAGATAAGAAGAGAGCATAGATGTGGGGTGTAGTGAGAGCAGACAGGGGACCCCAATTCCCCTTCCCCGTAACAGGCAGCACTTTTAAGCAGCTCCTGGGGCATTTCAGGAAATCATTTCTCCTTGAGACCCCTGGGCTCCTCCTGAGGCAGCCCCGGTGCAGGGCCAGTGCAGAGCTTGGGCAGGACTCTCTCGTGCCCCAGTTTGTTTCGGGGGGACAGAAAGGGTCCCCCACTAATGGCCTGTTTTTCCAAGAGGCCGCAGGCAGCGGCAGGAGGGCCCTGCCTGCCCGGGCAGCCTTGTGCCCGGGGGTTTTGTCTCCCTGCCAGCCCAGCTGCCTGCGCAATTACTGTGTTTTGCAGGGTAACAAAGGCTTCTCCCAGCACAGGCTGAGCTGGTGCTGAGGAGTTTCTTTCTCTTACAACACCTGGGTGCTTAGAGACGCTAATTTGGGTTTAAGACTTCCCTCCCTCCCTTTTTCCATCCCCTCCCCTTCCATCCTGCATGATTATTAACAAGTTTGGGCTTAATGAGTCAAGGAGGTGTGTCATTTAAGTGTCACAGAAAAGGACTAAGTGGAGCCAGCATCTGCTGGGGGAGGAGAGGGGGTAGAAAGAAATGCACCCCCAGCCCCACCCCCAGCTAAAGAGTTACCTACAGCCCCCCAGTCCTGCTGGCAGCAGGTAAGGGGGCAAACCCACAAGCGGAGGAAGGCCATGGTGTCCTGGTGGAGCTGGGTGACTGCCTTAGCCAGCATCTAACCCTGCTATCTGTCAGAAAGTACAGCAGCCTGGAGGGTAATTCCACCCGGGTGGTACAAAGGGAAGTTTTATGCCAGGGGGCCCTTTTTCCCTAGGATCTTTCCTACTGCTGGTCCCCCTTGTCCTGTGCCTTCAACCCCAAAGCCCCCCCCCTTTTCCCAGTCCCTCGTCCCCTGCCTTGCTCACTGCAGGTAGTTTGAGGATGAGGGTGGTTGAGGCAGAGACCTGGGCACCCGTGTGGCCAGTGGCTTGGTGGGGACATGGGTCCATCTCCTGGGAAGCCACTTCCTAGGGCATAAAGAAAAGCATTCCTGGTAGGGCTGGGCAAACACTCCAGGGCTGTGATTGAGGGATCAAAGATGGGGTGTTCTTGCAGTGGGGTGCTGCTGCCCTCCCCCTGCCCTGGCCCTGCCAGCAGCCCCTTGGCCATCTTCTGCAGTGACCTCCCTTCTTGTAAAAGGCTGAAAACCTCACGCTTCTTCCCCAAAGAGTCTCTCCCACCTTTGAGGTTCAAATGCCCTGTCCTTCTGCTCCCTGGGAAGATCTGAAGGCAGCGATGGGAGCCCAAACCCCAGATCTACCCGTGTTTCAAGAGTAGCCTCGTTCCCCTTAACACACCCTAAGGCACACTCACGTCTGTACGAAGGAAGCAGCGAGCCGGGAGGCCAAAAACTAGGAAAGAGAAGAAGTGGGACTTTGTGCAACCGGTGTAAATATCAAAACACAACATTGACTTGAGTTCCTCGTGGCTGGGGACGGATGATCAAAGCACCGCATCAGGGCAGCAGCACCCACCGAGCGTGGGACAGGAGGTGACCCCGAGGGCTGCGTGGGGGTGACGGTGGCTCTCGTACCCACCCAGCCAACCCGCGCTTCGAGGACTGCCTCTGCTCCTACAGCCCGTGGCAGCTAAATGCTCCTGGGGTTTCCCAAGCAGACTTGTGTTGAAGTAACCTCTTAAATTATTTATTTATTTATTTATTATTCTATTTTTAATTGTATGTCAGAACGGATGCAGGTGGTCACCGTTACCAGTATTTATTTATTCTAATGTTTGTTGTTTTGTTGGTTTGGGCTTTTTTTTTTTTTTTTGGAACAATAAGTTATTTTTGGACCTGATTGTTTGTTTGTTTGTTGGAATGTATCCAGGCTGCTGTTCTCATTTTAAGGCTTATGGTGCTGGCCCCTCTCGGTGAGGTGGCTGGAGGAGTGGTGGTCCCTCCTGCTGCCAACGTGTCCCTTCAGCTGCGCTCTCCAGAGCAGGGCAGAGAGCGTGTGCCAACCAGAGGGGCGCAGGGCAGAGCTGTTGGTCTGTTTCCATGTTAAAAACCTAGGGTTTCTCGTTAGGTTTGTGCAGGGATGTGATGGATGTCAGCAGAGAAGCGGGTCTGGGACCTGACGGAGGTGACAGCGAGGGTCTGCTGGCCGGTTGGCCGGGCCAAGGGCAGTTTGTGGTGCTGCAAGGGGAAGTCTCACCCCGGCCGGGTGCCAGCTGGCGGCGGCTGCTGTTTCCCTTGGCTCCGCAGCCAGCACACAACCCGAAACCGGGCTGCTGCGCGCAGGCACTGCTGGTTTCCCCGGGAGGATGCCGTCGCCAGGGCTCCCCTGCCGTGTTTATCGCCGCGCCGTGACCCACCCATGGGAACAGCAACCAAACCAGGCCGTGAGAGAGTGAGCCGCGCTCACGACGCTTGCAAAATCCCGCCTCTTGGTGACAGGAGCCAACCGAGTCTCTGTTGTGTGTATGTGAACACGTGTGTGTGTGTGTGTCCGTATGTATATGCATACACGTTGCATATACATATGAGTTCCCCTCAGTGGTGGTATTTATTTTTTAACTTATTTAAGATTTTTAGTACAACCTGGGACATCACCCTCCCTTTGTCGGTGGACAGCTGGGTTTTCCGTCGGTTTGCGAGAAGCCCACGAGCTTTTCTGTCTCTGTGCCTTTTGCCAGCGCTTTTTCTTTTCTGATGTTGTTTCGCTCATTCGTCGCTTTCACAGATTTTTTTGCCCCACATCTCAGATTGCCTCTGGTGCTCTCTGCAAGGAGCAGCATTCACCTGGTGGAAAGGCAACTCGGTCATTTCGGTGTTGGTGAATCACTGCTCGCCTGTGAGTGGCTACACAAGGGATGCCCAGGGACGGCCACAGCCTCACTCAGAGCAGAAAGGCTTTGGGAAAATATCTCAGCCACCTTTTGGAGGAGGTATCTCAGAGGGTTTTGCTTTCCTCATATACAGAGGCTCTCTCCCACCCACGATTTTGTTGCCATCCCCAGGGTCCCTGGTTGCCTTTCCCCAGCAGCACCTGCTCCCCAATGTCCCCCTCACCCCAGAGTCGTGCCATCGGCTCTCCCTGCACCAGCCTTGGCTCCAGGTGAGGCTCGTCACTCCTTGCCCAACCCCAGCGCCGGGACCAGGCTCCAGAAAACCCCACACACTCTCTGCAGGTTTGCTGGGAAGCCAAGATAAGGGATATTTCAAAGCACTGCTGTGTTCTTTCTGTTCTTCATGGGTTACGGCACTCGGTTGAGCTTTGCTTTATGTTGACTGCAACTTTTCTCAATGTTTTCGTTGTTTTGGAGGACTGAATTTGTACCAAACTTGTCTGCAAGAGCCAATCACTGTTATTTTGCTATGCATTGTACATATATTGAACGGGCTGAGAGGACTCGGCCTCTATTTAATATTTATTTCTTCTATTTATTGAGCATTACTTTAAAAAAGCTATTTGGGTCTTTGCCTTGGGTCCACGAAGGCAGGAGCCTTTGAGGGGTTGCCATATACGTTGGAGAGAGGTTATCAGAGAGGTCAATTACTGAGGCTGTCACCTGCTGGCGTGGAGGCACCTGTCAGACACATGAGGCTCATTTGTGCTCAACCACCAGTGGAACCTCATTTAGATGGAGATGAACAAGGCAGGGGAAAATCCTCCTTCTTGGGCCAGCTTCTGTTGACAAACCACAAAGGTGGTGGGTGCTTGGAGGTGACAGGCCAGCTGTGGTGGAGGAATAACCCTGCCCTTCCTCCTCCATGCCATGCAGGGCTGCCTGGATCACCAAAGATCCCCAGAGATCTTCAGTCTCCCACCACTGACCCCCTCTTCTTGGCTCTCAGTGGTTATTGGGGATCAGGGGACTTGTTGCCCTTTCATCAATGTGAGGAGAGGGATAGGGCTGAAGTAACTTGCTGTGGTCTCTACCAGGAAGCAAGGATGTCCACCCTGCCCCATCCCGAGACCCTCGTCCTCGTGCCATGTCCTTGCTTTGCCCCCTTCCCCAAGCTTTATGCCAGAACCAGTAGCTCTGCCCAGACATGAGCTTGGGAGAGGTGGCCAGGCCAGGACAGGGGAGGTCTCTCCTGTTGTCTCCAACATGAGAAGGAGCTCATTGCAGGCATCCTCCCCCAGCTTTGAAAAAAACCACGGGACATGCTAAAAATGGCAGCCATTGTCCTCTTCACCCCAGTGGGAGATGTTTGTGCTCCGTGGGGCAGAGCTGTTCCCAGGAGCCACAGGGCCCTCAGCCCTGGGGCTGTCAGGATGTTTGTTGGAGAAAGGGACGGATTCAGGTGCCTAAGTGAAGACTTTGTCCTTTAGTGTCCGGTGGGGTTTTATTACCTCTTTACCAGAGAATAAATAATTCTCATGACTTTTGCTGCTACCTGGAAGTTTGCACATGACCAGGAGGGTCTCGGAGGCACTGGTACATCTGCTGTTGTGGCAACAGTTTCGTGGTCAAGCATCCCAACTCTTGGGCCATAGAACAACACCCTGAACCCCACCGCCCTGGAGGCAGCTCTCCACCTTCCAAACCCAGGGAATGAGAAGATTTAGAACAAAAGCCAAGAGGTGAGAAAAGCCGCCAGGGAAACGGCGTCTCCGTTTTCTCGCCCGTTGGCTGATTCCTTACGGAATGACACCGGCGCCTCTGTTCGTTTGACTTCATTGTAAAACCCCCTTTGCTCTCCATGGAAATGCATTGCTGTATTCTTTAGTCTTCCTGGGGTATTTTGAGTTGTTAGCCTGGTTAGAAAAAGGGTCCCAATAAAGGTTTGGACGGTAATTCCTCCCCATCGCAGCCCTGTTTGTCATGTTCCTTTCATGTGGTGGGATATTTTGGGTTGTTTCAGCTGCTCCATGGGGAAGGGCACGTTGCCTCCAGCTCCCAGCTGCTGAGAACTGGCTCCTCGGGGCAGAAAAAAAAAACACTTGTGGGCCAGTATTTCTGGCAGCTCTCCCTGCCCTGCTGGGCCAGGCTTTGGCTGCCCTTGGCCAGGCCCTTTGGCTGCTCTGGCCCTGTCCAGGCACTGGGAGCCCGGAGCCAGGAATGCAGCCACCTCACCATGGAGCTCACCAGGGTTTGGGCTCGCCGGTGCTCCCTGTGGGGATGTGCCCAGCCCTCGCTCCAAGCCCTGCACGGTGCTCCCTGCTTCTGTCACCTCCTTGGCCATCTCAGCCATGAGCTGCAGAGGGAGGTGGGGACTCTCCAACGCCCCAGATGATGGCCCTCACCCTGGGATGCTCCCCTGGGCTGGCTGGAAGCCCCCTCAGGGGAGCAGTAGCACCGGGACCAAGTGTCCCCACTAGGGCTTAGCACCCAGGAAGGGTCCGGCCACAGCACGGGACAGATGCTGGGGACCCGGGGCAGCGTCCCCAGGTCACTTGGAGGAGAAGGGAGGCCACTGTGCTCCCACCGCTGGTGTGGTGGGGCCGGCTGGGCGGCGGGAGGCAGCTGGGAGATTTGGAGTGACAACAGGAGCTAAATTGGGATGGCCCGGAGAGGGCAAGAGCCGGCGGGAGGGGACGTGTGACTAATGGGGATAAACAAGGCGAGAGGGAGGATTCCTGGCCGGGGAGGGAGGATGTCCTGGAGCTACGCAGGAAAACATGGGACTGGGGATGTTGGGAGGCGCCAGGATCGTGGGGCTGCCCGAAACCTCCTCGGGGCTCGTCCCCCTCTCCCTGTGGGCTGGTGTTTGCCCCAGCGGGTGCAGAGCTGGGTGCTGGGGTGATCCCACTCCCCAGCTGAGGCAAGAGGTGCCCAGCTGAGCTCAGGCTCAGCCCCCAGGACACCCTGCTGTCACCCCCAGGGCAGCAGGAGCCCCCAGCTGGGCAGGGGCAACCAGGCAGGACAAGGGGATGGAGAGGGATGTTCTGCCCTTCTGCTGCCTCCATGCACCCAGGGGTGCTCAGCCAGCACTTGGGACCTCCTCAGGCATCTCTAGGCACCCCCTCTGTACCCAGGGGGACCCCCACAGTGCCCGGCTGTCCCCACGCATTGGGGGGTGAGGGGGCTGAGCAGAGGGGAGCAGCCCTGCTGCACTTGGGGGGTGAGGGGGCTGAGCAGAGGGGAGGCAGCTGAGGAGAGGCAGCTCCTTCCCCCAGCGATGCGGCGTCGGTGCGGCGTGATTAATGCCGCTGGAGTGACCAGTGGCTGGATTGCCGCGCGGCCTGCACTGCATTAAAGTCTTCCTGCTGCAATTAGTGCCATGAAGTCCATTAGAAAAATTGCAGATGCTGGAGAGAAGGAGCGTGAGGCAGAGCCAGGAGGGAGGATGCGGCATGAGGAAGTGGTCCCGTACCCGGCGTGACCTTCACTGATGACACCCCATCCTCTGGTGCATCCCGTTGCCCACCAGAGCCGCGCCTGGACCACCTCCACGGGTGGGAGACCCCCGTTGCCACCAGGTACCCCCCTGCTTGTGTTCTCGGGGCCGTGTAGCCCGGGTGGATGCTCTCCTCCCGCCGCCGTGCCTCGTCCCACGGCGCGCTGCCCGCTCCCCACCGCTGCCCTGTAATTAGCCCCGCCGCCGCGCGGCTGTGATTACCGCCTCGCCCTGCCCGCACACGGCAATTGCGGCAGGGCCAGGGCGTGCGGTGGGGCGAGGAGGAGGAGGAGGAGGAGGGGGGTGAGGAAGAAGCAGGGGCTGAGCAGCTCCAGGAGGACCCCACCTGCCCGGGATCCCTCTCCTTCCCATGTCAGGGGACATTTCTCCAGGCCCAGCCGAGGCAGCGGGGCCGGAGAGGAGCATCCCTCGGAGCACGGTTTTCCCCCTCGGAGCATGGTTTTCCCCCTGCATCCCTGCGGGCATCCTGGGGGGGCTGAGACCCCACGCACTCCCAGCCATTAAAGGGGTCTAACCCCTTGCCCCAGAATCCCCCAAATACCCACCCATGGGTGCCCTGTGCCAGCGGTGACCCATTTCCCAGTACAGTGGGCTGCTTGGTGGCCCGGGGGACACCTGGCTTTACAGTGAGGGTAGCAGCTTGGCCCAGCCCCACCGAGGAGGGGGGGGGATATTTTTATCGGGTGACACCGGGGTGAAAGCAGCCGGCCCTGAGCTCGGGGGCTATTTCTGGCCATGGGCTGGGCGCAGGGCTGAGGGAGGGGGCGGTGGGGGCCGGGGCAGCTGCCGAATCACCGTGGCCCCGTGGCAGCCGGGATCCTCGGGCCGGCAGGAGAGGTCAGCTGCCGCAGCCCAGATTCTCCACGGCTGTTTCATCCTCTCCAAAATACTCGGCTGACAGGGCAGGAATTGCAAAACACACCCCCCCTCCTCCCAAATCCATATAAATAGCGCTCGCCCAGCGGCTGGAAGGTTAGAGAAGTTTCTCGGCTCCGAGCTCAGACATTTATTAATGCAGCTCCCGCCCGGGAGCGGCAGGGAAAGTCGCACATAAAGTGCTGGGGAGCGAGAGGGGAGAGATAATCTTTTTAATCTCAGGATATTTGGTTTTATAAATTATTTTTTTTTCCCCCTCTCCAGCTGAGTTTTATTTTCCGGTCCCTGGGATCACAGCCAGACAGGAAGCGTTTTCTCGTGGCCAGAGAGCTCCCTCCGTCCTTCCTGCGCTCCTCGTGATTCAGCTCCAAATTGATTTTCTCTGTCGTCCTTCACAAGGTGCCGGGGAAGGAGGGGACTGTCCCCTGCGGCACCCACCCCCAGCCCCGCGCCCGCATCCCGCCCGGGGTGGATGCTTCTCCTCCGGGACGGGCTCTCCGGGGAAGTTTGCAGCCAGGAACGGCCACGCAGAGGCTGAGGCTCCGTGGGAGAGCCCCAGGGAGACGCTCGGACCCCTCCGAAGGAAGCCATGGCCGACAGCCAGATGCCCTTCTCCTGCCATTACCCCGGCAGGCGCAGCGTCCGCGACCCTTTCCGGGAGCCCGGCTTGACCTCGCGCCTGCTGGACGATGACTTCGGCATGTCACCCTTCCCCGGGGACCTGACGGCGGACTGGCCCGACTGGGCTCGGCCCCGGCTCACCACCACCTGGCCGGGCCCTCTGCGTGCCGGCATGGCCCGCGCCTCCACCATGGCCCCCAGCTACGGCGCCCGTTTCGGGGGGTACCCCGAGAGCCGCAGCCCCGCTCCCTTTCCCCGCGAGCCCTGGAAGGTGTGTGTCAACGTGCACAGCTTCAAACCCGAGGAGCTGACCGTCAAAACCAAGGATGGCTACGTCGAGGTGTCAGGTGAGAGAGCCCAGGCACCGGGGAGGAGGACGGGGCACGAAAAGCAGCCGGTCCTGCCCAGGCCGGCTGAAGAAATCGCTGTAAAATGCAAAAATCACCTTTATTTTAAGCCGGCGGTGGCAGTCCCCCGCTCAGGAGCAGGGCCAGGGCTGCAGCAGGGCTTTTTAGGCAGCCCCTGAGCAGTTTGGGGGTGTCATGGGGGGACCCAGCTCACAAGCTGCAATGCTTTGCTGCAAAAAAAATGAAAAGGACAGGCCCCTTTGGGGTAAATCTCCCCGCTTTTCACCCCAGCTGGCCGGGGGGGTAGCGCTGGGGAGGCAGCACCCTGCAGAGAGCTGCCAAGAGGGGCCCCAGCTCAGCGGGTTAATTATAGCTGGGGTGAGGCCGGCGCCGAGGGAAATTCCCTTTAAAGGGGCCGAGAGAGAGAGGGAACATCAGCACTGGGAAGTGTGGGGCAACCACCCCAGCCCCAGCCTGGGGACGGGCCGGCCAGAAAT